CTAACCTTATTATAGGGTTTCGGTTTTATCTTTGCAAACTAGAACAAATTATATAATGCCACCTTTCATTAGCTGTTTTTGAAGGAAGAATGTTGATCTCAATCTTTTGCGCGCGAGATATTGCTGACGCGAGACGAGCACTCATTTTGCCGTGGTTAAAGACGCTTGCTTTCTCCACAGTTGACTGTTCTTTTAACACCCTACGAAGAAGTGAGTTCACTTTGCCCAGATTCAGCCCTTAACCCTTTCACTCCCACAAGTGACCGAGACAGAATTTCTCCTTACAATATCAATACAATATCAAGCAGGCAGGTGATGAGAATAGAGAAGAATATCAATTATGGGATTATTAGTTGATCCAATACCAAATTCTCTGAACTAACATCATAAGAATTGTATGGCAGATAGTAAGGAGAATTACTTATTAGATCAGTCTTGGGAGTGAAAGGGTTAAGGTATTCAGTCATGCAACATGCTGCCAGAAAAACTTCCAAAGTTTTACCCCATCGAAACATTAAAAAATCAGGTGCATATTAATGACAGTGACCTTGCGTCACTTATAACTCCCAAATTACACATAATGGTCATGAGAATAAAGGAAATGATCACAAACTGAAGAAGCTCTTGATTGTTAGTCAAATTCTCCTTGTCAGTTTTATAGGAAATGTATGAAGAACAGTGTGGAGAATATGCATATCAATGTTAACGTTGGGTGTAAAGGGTTAAGGCAGCCAACCTTTAAAAATTCTCCTTTGGCATCTGTCGAGCATGTGCCAATCACGTGACATCCCGCCAACTTTGCAAGTTGGACCTTTGAAAATTAACATATCAAAAGTATTTGTGTAACAAAAAATGAAATGTCCCACATGCAGAGCTCGTTCCAACTGCTACCCAACTCCGAATGTTTGTAACTCTGTAAGTTCCTGGATTTCAAGTTTTCATTCAAGAGGAAAGAATTAAATATGTGGCCTGTCTTATTTTACCCGACCCTTATCTTATCGATCTTTTCTTTTGTCAGTTTTGTTATGATTGGATAGACATTGTAATAAACCCTTTTTAATTGAAGGTTGCAGTTTAATTGCAAGAAGTACTTACATCCCGAAATAGGGAACTCATGTAGAGATGTTTTTAAGGTGCGAATGGAGAGCAGAAAAAATGCAACTTCATAACTACTGGCACACTTGATATTGACCAGTCAACTTGAATTTATCAATGTTGTAACATAATAAACTAAACTCCATAACAAAAAATTTGTAGTGGGTGCAAGGCCCAAAAACTCTCAACTTCTTAGCCTTAGTTCCTCACTGGTAATTGTTTAATACAACCTACCGCAAACTGACCAGTTCCTCCTGCAGCCGCTGTAAAAAAACAGTGGAACTAACATTAGACAGAGTACTTTTTAAATTGATTGTCAATAGATATCCAAGATTGTGTCAGTTTTGTTTTAACTATACTCTGTAATTGGTTTAAGGAGATAAGAAATATTAACAAGTAAGAGCTCAGATGTCAAGAGTTCTTATTATTTCTTATTGTGATACCGGTATTTTCTTTTTTTAAGATTAGGACTGACAGGTAGTTAAATTTATGAAACTCTCGTGTTCAAAACAAACTTGATAATAAAATAGATTTACCTGTCACCAGAACTATTTCATTGCTTTTAATTTCACCAACCTATTGCAATAAAACAAGACTTTTAAAATTGTTCAGTATCATACAAGAATTGATCTTGTAATTTCCAGATTACTTCTGGTCCCTTCACAAAAGTACAAATAGTGTCAAGTCAAGTCTAGTGCAAAGGGGGGGGGGGTTCTGAAGTGCCCATGACCCCCCTTTGTAAACTTTTTGTGTCATATTAAGTGAAACACAGTGTGGAGGTTGACTTGATAATGTGGTGAGTACTCTCTATTTAACACAGTGTGACTCCTGCTTTGAAAAATCCTGGCTACCCCCCTCCAGCCACAGTTTATCCCACCTTTTCACTAGTCACCCTCATCCTTTTGTCAGGGTTTCCTGGCAGCTTGGTTGTACCCATGTATACTCCTGGGTGGAGGGCTCAGGCACCATGAGAGTGAAGCATCTTACCCCAAAACACAATGCAATGATGTGGCCAAATCTCATACCTGTGCCTCTTGATCTGCAGTCCAACTCACTGCAGGCCACCAAGTCTTCCCCAATAGGGAAAATTGAGGGAAGAAATAATGTTGGTCTGTTATCACTTTAAAATATTATTATGGTGCAAGCAAAGTAAGGCAAAATATGTTTATGGTAAATGATATACATTGAATAACTGAGCACCTTGTCAAGAGCAATACCAGCAGTCAGGCCACTGATGAGTAATGAGACATATACAGGATCCACTCTTGGCAGGGGAAATGCTTGTTTTGAGGAAATGGTCTGCAAGAATACCAATATCAACAAGATCACCATGTGAGAATCATTCATCATATCATCTTGTTGGATTAGTAGCAAAGTGGTAGTGACTGAAGAACCATGTTCAAATGAGTCAGCTTTTTGAGTGTTGCAACTTATTATTTTGGTAGCAGATTCACATGTATTGCTCTTCCATTGATGTTCTACTTGATATTTTACCAGCTTGTTTTTGCACCAAACCAGTGTCTTTCAAGAACGTGCAACTCCTGTCTAGACATTTAAGGCCAGCAAGGAAATCATTTGCAAAGAGATTTGGTGGATGTCAGTATTCATTCTATGAAAGATTACTCACAAAAAGTGAAAAGTAAATAGCCATATTGTGCAAAAAGGCGGCAACTACAAGTGAGAAATTTAAATCAGATATCAATAATTCTTTCAGGGTTCTCCAACTTTTTTTTCTTTTATAAAAAAAATAGAGTCAAATAATTAGTTTCAATCCACTCTTGAGAGGTTAGTCATGTCACAAAATTGGATAAAAGGCACTGCAAAATTTTTCCATCATGTTCACAAAAGCTGTTTTTGAACTATTCATAAAAATAATATATGCATTCAGATAGTGCATTACTTGTATAAGTAACAAGCAGTTTTAAAGGAACTTATACATTACGACTGATATCTAAAAAAATCAAGCAAAAATTTTACCATATATTCTGAGAAGGTTCCAAACTGAAAATATCCAACTGCCTGACCTTGGTGAAAGTTTTCACATTTCTCACCAGTTAACACAACTTCTCCAATACCCTTGGGAAAGAAAATTACATCAGTTACTACCCAGAAATCGGCAATAGTGAAGGAAGAGGTAGGGAACAAGGAAAATCATGATATAAGGGGCTAAGCCACTATGATCAGAGAGAGATGGTTTAATAATATGTCTAGCTTATAATAGGAAGCAAAAGTTTTCTAAATTATTTTTACCTGTTACTCCAACAGGGAGATCATTCACATTTTTCACCCCAAGTTTTAACTTAATGAACTTGTCAAAAAGTCATGAAAAATTCTCCTAACCACCACCATTTGGAGTTGTTAATTATTGGGGGGGGGGGGGGGGGGGGGGGGTCATTTTAGTTTCACTGCTAAACAGAGAATCTCCACTACCTTCCCCTCCCTCTTGCTGGCAATTTCCGACAAGTTCTGCTTATCTTACACACAGAGAGCATGATCAGCTTTATAAGAGTAACAAACTGATTAGTAAATAAATGCATGGCCTGGCTGAAGAGGTATTGGCGAGACTTTGAATTACTATTTGGCTAATAGCTGCTGGTGATACAAAGAATTCATAGTTCCTTCTACATCTGGCAAATAAATTTATTAGCTATTTCTGTCATTAGTTAGAGGTCTGAGTCTGTCTTAAAACTAAATTAGAGTACACTTACCTCTAGTCCACCATCAAATGGTGGGGGTACCCCTGGGTTATATCGACCAGCAGAATGGTTTATTTCTGTGGCATTGATCCCAACATACCTGTAAAATCATAAACCACAAAATAGAAATCACACACAGTAATAAGACATGTGAGCACGGTGCAGTAGGGTATTATCCTTATGTACATCTAGAATAAAAGTGTAAATAGCAGTTTGCCTTAAATTTAAAAGGGATTTGGTGGGAGTGGAGGGCAACAAATTAGCAGGGATAGTGAGGTACGTGAGTGCAAAAGAGCAGGGGAGGGTCAGCAGCCTTGTTTTCCGAAAAAGATGCAATTGTGATCAAAAAACTTGTATGAGATATAAATTGGGGTATGCAATTCTTTTTTGGGTAGGTAGAGGGGAACCAAAGGAACAGAACCTATCCCATGCCAAGGACATCTCAGTGGACCTGTGATCTGCTGTACTTGATAGTTACAACAATCGGGTTCAACCCTTGCTTTTCATAGAACATGTATGATATTGTTTGATATTTTCAATTACACCCTGTGCATGACGCCTGAGGCGTGAGTGCAAAAGATGCTTGAGTTACGGGTTGATCAACTACTTCACACGCCCGTACGAGTCAAAAACTCTCATTGCAAACCTGCAAGCCGAGAGAAATTCAAAACCCACAGAAAAAGATCGGCTGCTAGAAATTATTTTGAATGAACCGCGGAGAAAAAATAATTGGAAATATTCCCGAAGGGGACTCTCTAGGGATGAAAGAGGTACCTCTTCACGGTGTGAACACCTCGTTTAAATATTCTACCTGTTTTTGACGAGTAACTCATCCGGCCCCGGCTTCAACATAGGTACCGTTACCAGTTCGGCAGCCTCTCTGTAATTTGTGGAAAGTTTAGAAATTATAAGTTTCCGAAAAGTCTCGGGAAGACGCCTGGCCGCCATGATGGATCAGGGAGGTGAAGATTTGAAAAGGGACTGGAGATGAGGTGAGGAATATCCTCCTCTAGATATAGGAGATTGGAAAAAGAACAGAAAAGAAAAAAACTCTGTGAAGATTGTACGTTACGATTAGAAAATAAGGGTTATTAGTTTTCCTGCTATTCACAGGTTAAAGGGGTCTGCAGTGACTTTTCTCTGGGGAGGGGTAGATTAAGACCCGTCCTAGCGTCCACTTCCGTCCAAGCAATTAGAGAACGCCTGGCAGATTTTGTAGTTCTTGAGACGGTTGAGGGGCTCGAATACTAGACGAAAATGAGCGGGCATGGTAAACCATTCATTTATTTCTGTGGAAGTATTCGTGGAGGGAGAGACGATGCAGCTCTATACAAGCGTATCATAGATCAACTGAAACAATACGGTGATGTTTTGACAGAACATATTGCTGATCCCAACTTGCTAGACAAAGAACAAGGTTTGTCTCGAGAAACAGTCAATAATTTAGTCTTAATATGACAATTCTAAATCGAGTGAAGCCGTGATCCTTGCCGGTGAGCAGCAATTTTAGAAGTTGCAGAAAAGACGACTTAAAAAAAATTCAAGCTTCGAGGGAATTCGAACCCGTGCGCATGACTCGCAGATACTAGTTGGGTGCGACACATGGTTGGCCGCCACTACCAACTGTGTACAGTTAAGCTGCCAAGCCACACGTTGGGACCGTAGCATATCATTGGGGGTTCTTTTCCGTGTTCTAAAGCGCACAAGCATTAAGTATCGTAGAGATTATGCAGCATAGCTGGTTAGAGATCAGAAGAAGAACTTGATTCCTCATGGAACAGAGCCAACTTCTCAGGAATGTTAACCAAATCTATGCATGTTCAGTTGAGAGAGTGCAACGTATCTTTCGTGGGATATGTTACAAGAAAAAGAGGATCTTTTTAGAAAAGATCTTCATGGGAAATAAATGTGACATTAAACTCCATATCTGACTGGTTGAATTGCAAATACTGTAAGGAACGAATTGTTGGATCATTTAGCTAAAACAAAATGATTGCAAACTTGGCAACTTGTTCATCATTTTTACAGAAGAATTTGTGACTTGACTGATGTTTGGCAGAAGTTAAATTTTCCCCAGCATATTTTTATTTTTAATTTTCCTGTCTCACCTGATTTTAATAAATGTATCACAACAAAGAAGTTCCTTTGGCCACACATGAAAAACAGCTGTTCCCTTCCTCAGTGAATACATTTTAGGCTTTTCTGTTGAAGTTTATAACACGGCAGTGTGAGAAAGTGTTTCCATGTAGCCACAGATTGCCTCTTTTACCTGCACTCAGCTGAATGATTAGAAAAGGAAAGGTTTCTCATACTCAGTCAGTACCTAGTCAGTGCACTAATTAAGTTGTCATTCATTTTACTTTAAGCTTTATACTAAATGAAGTACATTTTTTATTGGATATCTTTAGGTAGTGACAAGTTTATTCATGACCGTGACATGGCCTGGTTGGAAAAGTCTGATGGTAAATTGCATACAGTTTGACTCACTAGTTCTAAGTAATAATTCTCCATTCTGTCTATCATTTATTTCTTATGAATGTCAGTTCTGAGGGTTTGGTGTCAAATCAAATGATATTTCCTAGGTGTTATTTTCCAATCTTCTTGAAAGTCGTATTGATAGAGTATTGATATCATGTGGGAAATGACTTCTTGGTCAACCCTGGAATTGAAAAAGTTTTTTAAATCCATCCATTGTCCCTCCGGTTCACAAACACACACATATTATGTTGATACTCTTCTACAAAGTCAAATTGATGGTCAACTTGTCTTTATGAAAATAAAAGTTGTTTCTTTTTCTTCAGCAATAGTTGCAGAAGTCACTCAGCCTTCCTTGGGAGTTGGATATGAAATAGGGAGAGCATTTGAGAAGAAAAAGAAGATTCTTTGTCTGTTTAGACCTGACAGTGGAAAACGTAGGTTTACATGTCAACCAAATGTGTTATTCTGAGCCACACTATAAATGTCATAGATAGTGCTTGATTGATTTAGGTTGTTGATCCCAGCAATATTGCTGTCACACCTCAAAATTGGTGCTGGTAAATGCTTCAGCAGCCTCATTCCCTCCAACCCTGCATATCTCTCTTACCCTACTCTTAGGCTACTCCTACCACACCCCACCTGCTGACCCCTATTTCCCCTTTTCCCCTTTTCCCCTGACCCCTCTCTTGCTGTATATCCAGGCAACAACTGCTCTGTACTCCCCCATGCTTGACAGACTTTGTAGCATCTGTTTTTAAACTGTTGGGCTAGTTATGTGTCTAAGGAACTTTTGTCCAAAAATCCAAATTCTGAAGCTTGCGCAACATGCAACTGACCAATAAAATATTGATATTTTACTATTCAATTTAAATAGTATTGCCCAGAAAACTCATAATCTGAAGTTACAGAAACATCCAGCTGACCAATCAAATAGTGGTATTTTTACCATAATATGTAATTAGTATTTTTTTTCTTGCTTGTAGATCTTTCTGCCATGATCGGGGGAGCAATTGGAGAAAACGTGCAAGTGAAGAATTATAAAGAGGAAGATGTTCCTGAAATCCTTAAAGAGTTTTTTTCTTCTATTTAGTATTCAGCACAGAGTTGCTTGGACAGTGGAGTTTTATTGTCTATTTTTGTCTTTTATTTACTTTTTGTGCCTCAGTACAATTTAAGAAATTTATTGGGCATAAAAAATGTGCGAATTTTGTAGTTTGTCTTCAATCTAAAAGTACAAGTTCTCTCTAAATAAAAACATCTAAAATAAAACACTGAAAATTTAAGGTAGACATTGTGGAAAGAGGTCTTAGAGTAAAAACTGCCCTTGTCACGCGGAGAACTAAATATATCTGAATGTTTCTTGTCATGCTTCACGTGCAGATCAGTGTTGCGTTGGTTGAAACACGGGTTACGGCAATGTATAGGTTTTTTCCACTTCACTTTTAGAAATATGTATGCTGACAATAAACATTATGTTTTCTTAGAAGAGGAAATGATTAAGACTATGATTTTAATTTGTTTTTTTTTTCCGTCTGAAGTTTTGTGCGAGGAGAACGTGAACAGCAGGTATCGTCCCAGGGGTTCCATATCTCGCGCGTAACTCCGCTTGGCGCTCGCTTCCCTTCGCGGTCGGGATGTCACGCAACGCTCCCCCGGCGTGACATTCCCAAAAAACAGCTGCAAAGGAGACGACGCGGTCGACTACGCGCGCTTTCGCTTGGAAAAAAAAGACCAACCTTTTCGCTGGCAAAAAACACGCCGAATTTTGTCTGTTAGCATTTTGTGTTCGCGGTTTCCCTAACGTAATTCCCCAACTCATAACATCTTACACTTTTTCCTAAATTTACGCGAAATGAAAACTCTACTCTATAATCAGTTTATGATATTTATCAGGCTGTGATTGTGTAGCTTGTTGTTAATATTTCGCCATATATTAATCCGTTTTATTCAAAGGATTAAACACTTAAATATAGCTATATATAGCTGTATTTCATAAAAAAAAGGGGGCCATTTCGTAAATCCGTAATCGGAAGAAAAACTATGTGAAAGAGAACTTTAATAAGCAGCCGTAATCTCAAAACGAAACTCAGATGTCTGGAAGATTACAAATTGACTGGCGCAAAGTAACATGTACCACTCTGGGATATGAATCTCTCCAATTAAATTTATGTGAAAACTTTCAACCTCCACGTGCGATCGAAGGCTAAAATTCAAATTGATTCTTACGGTTTCGACAATTTTCCACCACTCAGTCATTTTATCAATTATCTAAAAATACAGAGTGTGAGAAAGACATTACAAAACAAATAACTTATAAAAACAAAGTGCGACAGGTTTATATTTTTCTGAGTTCTGAGATGGATACACGTGCGCAAAGAAGCTGAACATAAAAATCATGTGTTAACAGAGCCCGCTTGTCACGGTAAAATCGAGACGGGCAGCATATGGTCGAACCGTACATGTGACCCTGGTTCCCGTGGAGGAGGGGGGCATCACAATGCAGTAGAAGAAGATGCTCCACCCGACAAGGCATCTTGCAAAATAGGCAGCAAATAATGATGTCTGGCGAAAATTTTATGCCATTCTACGCCGGCTTAAACGCCTACAATTAACTGTGTAATAAAGAAAATAGTTGGCTAAGAATATATGAAAGTCATATATTTGAACTGCTGATAAAGACGTGAATGAAAGTGATCCTCGCAGTAATGTGCACTACTTAGGCAGTAGTGAAAATAGTCTTCATTTAGATTTACAAATTTTTGTTAGAACATCGATCACATCAAGATTTAAAAGTATTTTCTAATTTTGGTTATTTAAGTTGAAAACCAGTTTTCAACCAGAAGTTTTTAATTATCGGTAATGTAATATAAATTATTTTAAAAGAATTTTTTTGGTTACATTCTGAACGAACTTCATGACGAAATCTGTCTTCATCCATCATCCTTTTTTTTTGTTTATTAATTAAATAAGTAAAAATCTTTTAAATAGCGCTACTACTAAATTATGTCAGAACGAAAGGATTTAAAACAGTTTTCCAGTCCTTCATTCTAAAAGATATTTGATAATCATTTAGTAAAATGGTAAAATCCGCGGCACATAAGTTAGAATACGGATCAAAGAACCGGAGTGTGTCAGCTTTTACACAAGCCCTTTACTGTCCCTCTCCATCTGTAGGTTTGTCGTCAACAGTGTAGCCTCCGTTTTCAAAAGGTCTTTTCTCTGCTAGAGGTTCTTCCCCAATATTGATAACGATCTCTTTGGTAAGGTCTTCTTCATAATCAAAGTCCGTTTGCTCACTTGTTTTCTTGCGGAATTTTGGACTCGCTTGGATGTCATCCTGATCCTGAAGGTAACAGTAGTAACAGATACTCAAAATAGCGCCTCCGACGCACATAATTACTGCTACAAACAGCTTAAAAAATGCGAAGACATTCAGAGACATGGTGGACACCTAAAGGCGCGGAGATGTTGCGAATGCAGTTACTCTTCGTTCAAAACGCGTTAAAGATCGAAAGTTTTTATGTCCACCGGCCGGGGCGAGGTTTTTACAGAGATGAACGGTTTGCTATGTGTTTATCATATGGCGAAATATTATTTATTCAAAGGATTTAACACTTATATATAGAGCTGTATTTCATAAAAAAGGGGGCCATTTCGTTAATCTTAGACGTCATCGGAAGAAAAACTATGTGAAAGAGAACATTATTAAGCAGCTGTAATTTCAAAACGAAACTCAGGTGTCTGGAAGATTACAAATTGGCTGGCGCAAAGTAACATATACCACTCTGGGATATGAATATCATTCAATTTAATTTATCTGAAAACTTTCAACTTTCACGTGCGATCGAAGGCTAGAACTGATTCAAATTGATTCTTACGATTACGACAATTTTCCACCACTCAGTCATTTTATCAATTATCTAAAAAGTACAGAGTGTGAGAAAGCATTACAAAACAAATAATTTATAAAACAAAGTGCGACAGGTTTATATTTTCTCGAGTTCTGACTGAGATGGATACACGTGCGCAAGGAAGCTGAACATAAAAATCACGTGTTAACAAAGCCCGCTTGTCACCATAAAATTGAGACGGGCAGCTTATGGTCGAACCAAACTTACATGTGGTTCCTGTGGAGGGGGGGGGGGCATCACAATGCAGTAGAAGGGGATTTTTCACTCGGCAAGGCATCTTCTTGAGGGCCGGGAAAGAAAAGGCGTTGTACGAGTTGAACTCATGGAAAAGCTAAGGAAATTACCATCTGTCTGCTTGATATTGTATTGATTGTTCAGTGGAATAACCTCTTTCTTGGTCCCTGATGGGTGATGGAGGGCTAAAAACGCTGGAATTTTTTGTCGTGTGTGTGAGAAATGTTCAGCTGCGTGTACCATCCGTCATCGATGATAGCAAGTTTTGCGAAGTGAGTGAAAAGAAACAGTTTTGCTCTGTTACGCTCTGATTTTGTCTCAATTGTATATTTTTACGGTATTCATTTGTGGGTGAGCGAAATACTTTTTTCTCCTTACAAAATCTAGTCGAACTGGAAAAAAATTAGGTGAAGTTTTTGTTTGGACAAATCCCGCTTCACGAGACACAGAATATTCAGTTTAGACCGAACGATAGATTCTCGATCAGCCATAATGTCTTAGACATTAAAGCATTCAGTTGAAAATAAACAAAACCTGAAAACAGAATTATGCTGCCAGAAAAAGCAAGGCTTTAATAAAAAAGGCATGTAATTGATTTTGTCTCATTGTCGAACAATTAAAATTTATCATAATTGACAACAGCAGAACAATATCTCTTACAAAACTTTCATTTATAAAAAATGGTTTTTGTTATTTCTTTAACAGCTGAGCCATGTTTCCGATTCAAAACAGTGTAAACGAAAAAATATCCAAAGCTTTTTTGACTATCCAAATGTTCGTAAAAGAGAAGAAGTTTTATTCATTTTTTTATTCATATTTCACCTGTTTTGTTCTTACGTTTACAACCGATAATAGAAAGTTTCCACTGACGATAAATAAGACACTATTGTACTCTTACTACCCACTGATGCTGCCATGCAAAAGCACCTTTGAACTTTTTGCGGTAACTTCACAAGAACACAAAGACTCCTTTACAATATATTTGCACATGATCGTGACATAACCTAGAATAAATTCAATAATAACTGGAGAGAGAGGCAAACTATATTAAGAGCTCGCGAATGGGGATCGGACATTCGAGAAGATGATCGTTTTAAGTTAGCGTAACAAGATAAGCTTCTGGGAATCGCCTGCTTTAAAAATGAATTTTATTATTTCCTGTTTTGAAAAGTAGAATTACGCAGCTAAACAAACTTTTGAATGAAAGCAAAAAGCGCCCACATGATTACAATGATTATGTTTCTCCAGTCATTGTTTTAATTTCATTAGCGTCGTTTTCCCGGTTTGAGAGATTTTCCAGTTGGGTTGTCTGACCTAAAGCGTCTTCCTGGTTCTGGCGAACATGCCAGTTAATTTCTCACAATAAATTATATTTTTTCCTTCATGAAAGGAGTGGTCACATGCATACCCAGGTCCCCCTTAGCTAAGCGCATGGAACACATTTGTTTAAACATCTGTCTGATTTTGACGAGCTTTTAACTGAACACAAATCCTCACAACTTGATAAAACGGGTCTTAACGAAGCAAATACACACACCCTGCACTCAGTTGAAATCAGAATGAAATCCTTCATTTTTGTCTTCGTGTTGGGGACGTGTGCCCAAGCATGGAGATGGCCGTGGGAATCGAAACCAGAAGGTGAGTACTTAAAAATTGTTTCCTTCAATTTCCTCCTTTTTTAAAACTGTTTTTCAAGCATCAAAAACCGATGGCGAGCTTGCTAGGTCTGCTCTTAAAATTGAACATCAAAACTCATGGCTGTGGATGACAATAACATTGCCTTAGCGACTACTCGTAAAACCGTCAAACATATCAATGGTCAAGCGAAACACGAACAGGTGTATTCCTACTCAGAGTTAAGTGTACGATATAAATGGAAAAGATGCTAACCGATTTTCATTTCATCCGGAAAGTTAAACATCAAGTGGCAGATATACCAGCCAACTTGGGCCCCTTTCAGTTACAATTTATTTGGATCGTGTACACCCTTAAAAAATATTGGATCGATCACGATGTACAATTTATTTAACAACTTATACTGGCACTCGAATCGAAGCCGTTTGAATATTGCTGTGTTTTATTGAAAATTAAATGCCAATTAAGTAGAGCTGAATAGATGGTGCACCTTAAATATAAATCGGCACTTTTCTGTCCTATCGCATTGTAACATTTTGGTCGTCACAATCGAAATAATTTAAAACAAACTGCTTCACGTTATAAACGAGGCCCTCGTGTGTGTGACTGACCAAGAGAGAGGCAGAAATTCAAATGAATCAAATCGCAAGCTTGAAACATTCAGATATCATTTGGTTACGTTGTAGTACAAATGAAAGAACATCGTCCTTCTACGGATAAGCGCCTAAGCTCTAATAAATCTAATAGGCGCCTCGCGCCTCCCCTGAATAAGCGCCCACCCCCAGGCCATAGAGGCAACAAGTGGTCCCCTCGCGGAGTCAGTACAGGAGAATAATAAGCGCCCCCCTCGATTAAGGGCCCTGCTTCCGATAAGCGCCCCCTGACGAGTCAATTTTTTCCTTATAAGTAATTTTGAAACTATTTTCTCTTCTCAGCACCAGAATGGTCTCAGCTTTCAGGTAATTTATAAGTCAATCATCTATTTGTTTATTCTGCGAAGTGTTTTAAATAATTTGAAGTTGTGCATTTTAGCAATGGACCAGTATTTAGGAATGGATCAGCCAGGACCAGCATTTAAAGTTAGCTTTTCTTGTGGTGGACTACAAATTTGAATGAACAAATATCAATGTGAGAGACAATATTGTGAAACAGTTTAGCTTTTTTTCACAATCTTACCAACTCATTGTGTATATAGGTTCTAGCCCCCGGTCATGACGTCTCATACCAGTTTGGGTGCCACAATGTCGACTGTAACGTAAGGGACTGGCCATTATTTATGGCCTAAGAGTGGGGGGTTTTGGTCGTGTCTTACCTGATCCCCCTAAGGCTTTGTAATATTCGTATGACCCCCCCCCTCCGACATCATTGGCAGCTAACTGATGGTCAATTTGCTAAGGTTCCCCCTTTATACTCTGTTGGCGACAACTGATCCCCTCTACGTTCTACCCTAAAAGAATTCCTTTCTCTTACAGTGACCTGGGGAAAGTTCGACAAATTGCCGCAGGATAAAGACGCAGCGATCAAAACTGGATGGACATTGACAGCGTCATGTGACGGTAAGATAAGATTTGCCGGAATATACCTCTTTAGCCTGTATTTTTTTCCCATTCTAGGTCTCAGGGAATTCACAGCTTTGTCGTTTGCAAATTATGCGTACATACGCACGTGTATGAGACGAAATTTGAATGAAACAGTTTTCTAGAGTATTGTCACATGACCTGAACAAACAAGATAACGAGGTCTCTTATTACGAGGCGTTGATTACCCACAATATCGTGATGTCCCATCTTTGTGGTGATGTGCCTAATCTTGTACATCCTCACCGTGCACATGCAAATAACCTTGAACAGAAGGCGAATTCGATCAACTGCGTTTAGCCATGCAAGATTGCCTGGTTAACGTGTATTTGCTGTATATTTTACTTTTCATCGAAGACTGAGTCGTTTAATAACGGATATATACAGAGACCTGCTATTCCACCCTTCCGCTGCCTCTACAATGACTGCTTTGGCTTCATTGTTTCTTTTTGAAAGAGTGCGGCAAGCCATGCGCATTTGCTCCTTCATTTTTAGTTACGCTAGTCACTCATGCTACCTCTTTCTACATTTTATTGCAGCAGCCAATTACTTTGCTGGCAATCGTTACGTTCTTAAAGGAGACACCGCAGTGATGCTTCTCTTTGATTCCAAGGGAAAGATAGCTGGAATTCAAAATGGGGTAATGAACACAACTTAGGTTCTACCCTCTTTTACTTTGGGTTAAAAAAATGTCCTTAGTGGCGAGTCTTATTTATCG